GTGTTTCACCAGTAAAACTCCCCGGCTTCTACGGATACTTTAGCAAGGGCGAGAACCTGAAGCACGAGTGGTTATTTTTGCAGTCCATAAAAATGTTCCGGTTTACGAGGGATTGAAGATAGCTAAACAGCGGATAGAGCCAGAACGCTCCACGGCTACTACCTGAGAGAGCCTTTCTCAGTAGATACAAACTCTCCTCCCTACATCTGGTCTGGGGAGGGTGAAGGTGCGTTCAGGAGTAAGCAGTGGGAAGTGTGGAGTCCACCAACAGAAGGAGGGATTTAGGGTGTGGGAAAAAAGTGCCAGGTGAAGGCTCTGCCACCAGAACCAGCACGGCCAGTACCTATTCCTGTAGAGAGTTATGCTGTGATAGACATTTACTTTAATGACCAAAGTGGCAATGGCTTGTTACCCCTCGAGATGCTTACCTTTACTATTCTTGAAGTCCACAAGGAAAGAGGATGTTGCAAGAACCTTGGCAGTGGCGTGTGAACTGCGAGAGGGCCAGCCCAGCGCCCGCTAAATCACACCTGATATTTGCCAACACCTGTAAAACTCAGTGGGTGTATCTCAGACTTCACTTTGTGACTCAGTCAAACTATGTCAGGACAGATGAATTGTCAGCACTCTCTTAGAGGCCTGCAATAAACCAAGTAATTCTAGAAGAGTTTGAGGCTTTGGACAACCCTAATCAACCAAGGTAAAGTAAGAATTTTTTAATGATTCACCTGTAAACAAATTTTTTTAGTGCCACATATTCGTATGGAAATGTTATTAGACAGGTAACAGAGAAAAGGCCAGTGATTAATTTGTCATGCTAGACAGCAACAATCCTTGGTGATATATTTATTATGTGAAATCCAAAAAGATTGACCTCTCAGCTATAAAAGTAATTTTCCCAAATAAAAACCAAAGAAGTGTCTAAAACCCAGGTATCTACATTTTAATAATGGCATTTGGAGACAGGATCTTAATCAGAATCTCCACATTCTTTGTGTGAGGTAGAGAAATTATAGCAGCAGTAAATAAGAGTATTAATCAATCAGTGTTAACACCAAAATAAGATGCCACCAAAACATTTGGGCCCCATAGGTTTGCTTAGCCTGCAAAAGATAAAGGGCAATGAAGAGTCTTTAATTATACAAGATATATTGTAAGAAAGATGATCAGTTATTTTCTACCTTTACAGAAGGTTAAGGAAGAGAAAATGAGTTTTAATTGCAGCAAGAGCATTTGGTAATACCTAAGAGTGACATCTTGATTTATGAATAATTAAATATTCAGACATCATACCGAAGGATATTGTACATTTGCTGCCTCAAGAGATCTCCAAAAAGTAACTACCTGTCTTCAGCAGTTAAGTTCACAACCACCCAAAGTCTGACTCTTAGAGAAGTAGTACTCTAGTAGCTATATTCCCATATATTATTTACAAATAGTGCCCTGTAAAATGGAATTTCTTTAGAGAGTCATTTAAATTTAAGTTTTGAGCCCCCAAACATTTTGTAAAAGAGCCTCCCACTTCTTCAGAGCCACTAGAAACAACCTCACTTGGCAGATCACGTGGGGATGGGGAGAAAGATCATGGCCACGGAGCAGCTTCAAGTCTTCTTAGAAGGCAATTGCCTATCTCTCTGTATATTTATGCATTTTAGTACCTGAAAAATCACTTTCTCTGGTGTGTGTGTGTGTGTGTGTTTATGTGTGTGTGTGTATGTATGTATTTAATCCTTTTTCTCATAATACACTACTGTGAACTTCCCTTCAAGGTACATGATGTTGGTACATCTATCGTTGGATATCTGTAACATGGATAGATAGATTTACAGATTAAACCTTTGCAGAAACTTTGGGGGACCTAAAGGAGGATGAAGAGTGTGTATTTAGGGGTAAGTTAGAATTAGATGCCTTTTTAGATTTAGTTCTTGGCAAATGTCTGGTAATAGCAAGTACTCAGTAAGCGTATACTGAATGACCAGTTTAGTGCCACAAGTAAATAAGATTTTAAAATTTAATTTGTACTTAGAGGTAAGGAATTTTTAATTTTTAGTTTGTCTACCTAGAATGTGAACTTGGGCCAGAATATAAGAAAAATAGCAGCAAATGCAATGTCTTGATGACTTTACAGTAAGCTTTGCTAACTCCCAACATGAGCATTATCCAATAAGAGGTGGTTTAGAAATTGCTAAAGTATGAAATAAGTGTACAGATCAGCAATGTGTGTGGTCTTTTATTTTTTTCTTGTCTATCCTACATCTATCCCCTAAACACAATACAATAAAGCAGAGCAGTTTTGGAGAACATGTCAGAGACATAAAAATTTCTGTGTCATGCCCAAAGTGTTTAGCCAAGAAACCAGGCAGCAATTATACACTAGACTGTTGCCCACATTCAATATTGGCTCCCATCTGTACCTATCTAAATTCTTGGCCACCCACATAAAAAAAGGAAAAAGGGGGCTACTGTTGGCCAGAAATTGCCAGTTACTGACTAGATCTAACAATAGGGCATTTCACTTGAGTTGAAAGGTAACCAAACAGGGTTAACTAGAAAAAGATATCAAATAATATCTGTGAGACAAACTACTAATGAATGAGTAGTCTAAAAAATGAATAGTGTTTCCAATTACTTGAGGAAGAGAAAGACTTCATTCTTTCCTGTTGCCAACACCCTGTTGTTAATGAATCAGGAAGTTTGCTGAAACAAGTGGTGAATTTAAATTATGACATATCCTTCCATTTGTTCATAGTATGATTTTTAAATTAAATTTGAAGGTTATTTAACTTTTACATCCCAAAAGTAGCAATGATTTCAAATAACTAAGATCCTTTAAAAAAAAAAAAAAGAGTTGTCTCACATTACAGATAATTATCTAAGATTGATAAGAGTTGATAAATCTTCTAAGTAGTTTTAAAAGTCATTAGGCTCAGAAGAATGCAGTTGAACTGCAACATGCATTATCTTGTTCACATTTATCAATAATTCCCCTCTAAGTTCACCTTTGAAAGTTGCATAGAGGGCAAGTCCTTAGTATGTGTCTCCTGTTTCTCCTTTTCTGCGTGTTGCCCAAAGGAGAGTGTTGCTGAGAAATGGTGATGCCCGTGAAGTTTTTGTATTTCACTCATGTGCCAAACTGTATCTCCAGATTCCACCTTGATGATAGAAGCAGAGGAGTCATTTCCTTTAATGAGTAGCCTAGGAATAACCATTAAAAAAACATGCTGTGTTCTCTCAGGGTTTTTAATAAACATAGATCATTATGTAATCATGATTTGAAAATATATAAAGACTCCCTAAGAAATAACACATCTCTTCTAAACTCATAAGATAAACATTCTTGCTTTTCTGTAGTGATATATGTATAGATGATGAGACTACTTACTGACTTTGAAATCCTCATGGAGAAGAGCTGTGAAATAGAAAACTATTTAGTTTAATCCTATTTTTTCCTCCATATTTCTTTCAGCCATATTAAAGATTCCCTGTTGTGCATCCCATCAAATGTCTTTTGATGGTTTTCCAAACATCTCTGCCTCTGGTCTAGCTTATTAAATTTCCTGCCAGTGCCACCACTGGGAAGGAAAGGATAAAGAACTTCTGTTCCCTAACTTAGTCTCTAGGAATTTATTTTAAGCATTTCACACCCACCATTCTAAGTATTACAGAGAAGATCCTCAGGACTGTTCTTTGGATGAGGCCTAAATAATTGGGTAATTATATGTCATTAAATGGGTAATATGATTAGGGAATAAAAAGTAACAGTGTTTTTCCCTCTCTATACTGGAAAGGAGGAATGTCATAGTTAGAGAAAGACCACAGAAAAAATGTGGTATATTAATGTTAAGTTCTGGTACCATTTTTAATTGAACTTAAAAAAAATCCAATAATGATGCACATCTTTAAAAAAAAATCTAGTACCAAAATGTCCATAATGAGTAGCAACAGATAGCTAGCTATCTCTCCTTACTCCAACATTGCACCCCAGAGGCAACCA